CATAGATGTCGAAAATATGCAAAAATGAGTCGTAGTATAGGATGAGCACGCTATGATGTTAAAAGAGGGCTATATAATGTGTGTGACGTATAACGTATATAATGTGCAATAATTACACTTATTGTACAATTATGCAGATGGAATATTAAGATATTAAAAATTAGATTGAAATCTGTACTTATGTGTCTGAAACCTTTAGTGGTTTAACAGCAACAAAAGTCAGTTTGTCTTTCAGGCGTCAGAAAATCGGTTTTCAAAACGGCGCTCCTTCTGTTTCTCTGCTGCATCCACCTGTTACCTCTGCTCCTTCTCAACCCAAATGGCCCAAATGGCTCAGCCTTCAACAGAGGAACAGAGAGAAAGAAACTCAACTTTCACATTATTTATTTAGCAATAAGAAAATATCAACACAAGACGGCTGCTTCACATTTTAGCAATACATTAGCACACACAATGTTCACAACTTACGCCACAATCTGGAACCAACATAAGAAATGTTAAAGAACTTAGTACTTTATAAGTATTTTTAACAGCATTATAGTATGTAAAAAATGAGGTCAACTTACACATTATTTGCATATGGCTGGTTTTTACAGCCGATTCTAGTCAGTATTAAAAAAAACAACCTGCAGATTCAACATTAAAAATGTAATTTTTCTCCTGTCAGGTTTAAGTTCAACCCTCAGCAGCTGTTTTCAAGCCGCAGCTGGAGGCTGAGCAGACTCGGACAGTAAGAGGAGGAAGGCCTTTTCCTGCTGCCACTGCCCTGCTTTGGAGCCGCCATCTTCTCTGGATGGAGATGGATGAAGCCAAATCAGCCGTTAAACTCCATGTTTCTCAGTCGATGCTTGTAAAAGACTGAAAACGTCTCCGTCAGCACAGATTTGCACGTTTGTTTCTCCCCTATCTGCCCACAGGAAGCAGGAAGTTAAATAGTTTGGCTGCATTTCAGTGTTTAATCAAGAATTTCACATTTTTTAAACATGTAAAACAGATGAGACAATAACTTGAAGAAGTGCCAAATGTTGTCCTATTTATGATTTTAATTCAAAGTTGGATCAGGGAAATGATGTAAGGGATTTTTATTTATTTATTAGCATTTTTGAAATATCCTATGTGAAGCATAAATTGTTTTCTGTCTTATTAAACAGGGACAAAGATAAAACCTGCAAATCATATCCAGATTCTCCAGCTGCTACTGATGATGATCTTTACTACAGTTAACATAGAAAATGTTTTTTTTTTCCTTCAAACGGATCACTTAGTTTAAAAATAAACATGCACTTTTAAATATGCCAGATTTTCATGTATTTTTGTCGTGTTTTTGTCCAAATAAAGAGTCACTGTTACGTTTTTGCTTTCATTTCTTTCTTCTATTCTAAATATCATAAAGTTGAGTTTACATTAAACTTTTAGTGATTAAATTAAATGCTGCAGGCTAACTTTATAGATTCATCTCCATTATTATTTGATTAAAAGTCTAAAGTCAACATCCTGTCACAACCTTGATTGGATTAAAATGGTTGATTTCCTGACTTTTAGGGTTAATTAGTTATTTAGGAAGGATGAAAGAGGAAAAAATTATACAATTAGTAAAGAAATTAGAAAACAAAGGAAAAAGAACGATCTGGTTCTGCAGCGGCCATCTTAAATCCTCCACCCTGTTTTTTTCTTTTTTTGCAACTATGATACTTAAAAATTCAACCAATTCCAGTAAACCAAGACATTTCACTAAATTTAACATTCATTTCAGTGCTTCACATTAAAAGTTTAGGTCTAACTTTCAACCACAGATTGTCAATTTGGGGATTTTTAGTTCAACTCAGTTTTATAGCTCTAAAGAGTTTCTTAAAACATGATTTAGCAGTAATTAAAAGGGACAAGCCTTTATGGGGCATTTTATGCCTCTACCAAATGAAAACATTATCCATCCGTCTCCCCCGGTGTTAAACCTCTAATAAAAACACTTTCAATGTAAACAGTTTGTGCGCTCACTCCTCAGCTGGCCCAGTCGTCCAGGACGGGCAGGAACGGTAAGTCTGTGCTGCCCAGGTAGGTTCTGCCTCTGTGCTGGAAGACGTCGCTGATGGCCCACGTTAGGCGTCCCTCAGGGTCATGGAGCGACCCTACGATTTACCCGTCCGATCCCAGCTCCAGGACCAGAGCGTAGCGCAGCAGCAGGAGGCTGTAGCAGCTCAGAGGAACCAGCTGCACCGACACAAACCAGGAAACCGCCAACATGTTTAACAGACTTTAAAATATCACTATGCAGACAGAAATAAGTTCTCCAAACCTGGAAAATACTGAAATTTAACTCCAGATTGCTCCCAACTGTATAGATTATACTTAATGTACAAACTACAGTTTTAATCTGTGGTTATTTCCAGTTTAAATTGTTCAAAATATCAAGAATAAAATAGCATGCCGTTACTTACTAAAGAATAAAATCTAATTTTAACAGAAAACCTCCAACCTTGGCCAGGAGGCGTTTCACCGCCGGGTACGGAGCGATCATGTCCAGGAAGGGTGGCAGAAACTTCTGGAAGCGTGTCGTCGTCATGCCAACCAGGAAAGTTCCGTGGTCGCTAAGGCGGATGTTGTCAGGGTAACCGATCATGTTGTCCAGAATGATCTCCTTACTTCCTGCCTTCGGGCCTTTCAGCCAATACCTGAGAAGGAATTTTATTACTAAGAATAATATTTAGAGCCACATATCACTTTCACCAGTGGGGGGCACACTTCCGCTAAGCCGCCAATAGCATTTTTGCTAACCTTGAAAACATTTAGTGAACTGGTCGTCCTCCAAATTATTTTCTCCAGATAAATTCTAAAGTTTACTTGACTGTTTTGTAAAATTCAACATCTGTGTCAACGGCAGAGTTAGCAAAACAAAACAACGATAAAACTTCAGTCAGAATCACAACCAAAAATCTAGGTGTGTAATAGCAAAAATTACAAGTTTTTGATATAAGATCAACATAGTTTAATTTTGCATGTTAGCAAAAGCTTTTGCTAAATACTAAGTTGTTTTAGCAGCATATTAGCGGAACTAGCTTTAGCTTTGGCAGAACTAGCTTTAGGGTTAGTGCGACTATCTTTAGTTAGCGGTGCCTACCACTGGTTTTCCATATGAAACACCTCGTGACAACGGTGTAAATACTCGACTGTACCTCAGTATGCGTCCGATGCTGGTCTCAGCCAGCAGCAGGAAGTTCTCGTCAGGCGACAACGCGATTCCATTGGGCATGTAGAGCGAGTCCAGCAGCACCGTGACCTTTTTATTCACAGGGTTGTAGGAGAGAAGGCGGCCGAGGCTGTTCAACTCGATCACCTAAAGCATCAAAGAAAACAGCAGCTTCATCTCATCTGCCAACCATCAACTAAACCTGAAAAAGCAACAATATAGTAAATCTACAACCAAACAATTGGTTGAGAGTATAAACCTAGTTTAATCCATTACTGGTATATTTAAACAAAAAATGAAAACGATTTAAAGAAGCAATGTTTTTAGCCTGGTGGAAGCAATTTAAGCCTGGTGGCCCGTCAGGCTGATGATACTCTGGGAGAAACACTGCAAACTCAAACTCTGTTTGTGAAAACAATCTTGGTCAGTGAAGCTGATTTAGGTTCTCCATGATTTTTTTGGTCCTGAACATATAAAACAATCCGTATTTTCTAGACTCAAATTTACAGATGATTCAACACTTTTTCCAAACGTTCCTAACCAGAGATGGACAGTAAATACTTACATTTACTTGAGTTACATTTTGGAAACAATGTACTTTTAGGAGTAATTTTACTGTGAAGTATTTCTACTCTTACTCTCGAGTAAAATTCTGGATTGATCATTTGATCAATGACATGAGTAACGTTTTTACCAAATAAGTTTTTACTCTTACTTGAGTACAATTTGTGGATTGGTGGCTCTCTTCCTAACTTATAAAGAATTAATGGATGTTTCCAGCTAAAGCCTGAGAGTGGTTTATGTTTGTGAAACGCCGCTTCATCAATTCTCAACAATCAGTTATTTATGCATAAATATCCCCCTTGTAAATTCAGGAACTTAAGTTTAAAACAGTGAAAACACTAAAACAAGGTTTCCTGAAAACCCACTCGCCTCCAGTCTGACGTGTCTGCGGCCCCAGCGTCTGGACGAGTCGGTGAAATAAATGATCCCCGTTTGGGAGGAGACCTCCAGGCCGTTCAGGAAGGCGAAGGGAACGCCATCAGCACCTGGTGACAGAGCGACGTTCTCCTCATTCGTCTGCGTTTGTAAAAACCAGCTGAAGCTGTTGGACCGTACCGTCTGAGCTGGCCACCAGCAGAGTCTTGCCTCCAGTTTCAGGGTCGACGCTGTAAAGACCGAAGTAAGAGTCGGCAACGACCAGCTGACCGTGGCGGTCCAGGCGAACGCCGTGAGGACGGCCGCAGACCGGCTCGTAGTCAGAGCTGCTGCCTGGAAACATCCAACAGACATCCTGGTAGTTTAAACCACCTTACTGAACTACTATAGCAACAGGATGTAAACATGTTTAAGAAAGGCAGGATAATAAGATGATAGAGATTATGTTTTGCTTACAGGTTACTTTCTTGGTACCAGCAGCGGCACTAGGAGGCGACTAACACCCTTCAGCTTTTACCTCTAATACATGGACATGAATCACAGAAGCTGATGGAAAACATTAAATGGACTAATTAGAATAAAACTCCTTGAAAGTATTTTTGTTTTCCAGGCACATTGTGTCATTTTAGAAAACAATCAAGTAACTATGGTAACTTTGGTTCCAAAAAAACACTTCATCACATATGACTTAAAAGAAATTCGACTTTGTAATTTAACGCCTTAAAATTGGGCCTCTGTCTCTTTAAGAAGCTCTTTCTCAAACTCCGCCTTCAGGAAGTCATCACAACATGGCTCCTCTATTAACCCTTTAACAACATTTTTACCAGCGTTGCACTAAGTAGCTCCTATGATGAGCTCAGTCTGAAGGAGCTGAGTGGGGGAGGAGCTGTGTCTTGAAGGCGGGGCTATGTCCAGTCAGGCGTTTTACACAGCCGAATAGTTGCCATGGAGATTAAATGATTTCTTAAACAAAGTATCCGAACCGCATTCTGGCAGATCCTGTCCCATGTGTGTGATGAGAACAAGGCTGTCATCTGGGCCGATTCTCCACAGCTTCCCGTCCACCGTCCCCGTATAAATGTTACCTGAAATAAAAAACGGACAAGAAATTAAAACTTTTACAACTTTCACTTCAGTTTATCAAAACAAAAACTCAGCGTTGCTCCTAAAATCAGTTTAAAGGTAAAGTGATCGGGAAGTAGTGACATCTAGTGGTGAAAACAAATTACTGCAATCAAATTAATAATCCTAATTGCTTATAATAAAGAAAATAGTTAAAAACAGGGAGTCAATGTGTCTTATATGTGAAGAATGTAGCTTTAATGAAGGAAAAGAGTCACCATGAGCATCAGCAGCAAAGGATTCTGGTCCGTGTAGTTTTCCAGTGAACAGCCTGCGGCCCCTCTGCAGGCGGGTGTTAACAGCCAGTGGCCCTTCGAGGGCCGGAGGAGGCCCTTTCAGACTGAACACACACAGTTAGTAACCCTAATCAAATAAATTCAACACTAAATTATAACGTTGAACCTTACATGTACGGTTTGGGATCTATGGGAGACGGCAGGAGGTAAATGCGGACCGCCACGGCCAGCAGCGCTGCTAGCAAAGATCGTCTCTGCAGCCTGAAGAAGAATGGGAGGAAAACACAAACTGATAAATAAATCAGTTTTTCCATGTTTAACAGGGATGCTCCTAACGCTGCTCAGTACACTAGCTTTAATTTTTCCCCTATGAAAAATTGCGTGATAAATATCAATACATAAAACATCTGACTGAATGTGCAGTTCATAGAAAATATACAGAACTCTGATGAAAAAAAACAGCATTCTGGGAGATGTGGACAGAGGAAAGCATTTAACTGCTCAACCTCTCCTGGCTAGCTAAGCTAAGTTGGTGGAATGAACTGACTCACTCACTCTGGTTACCTAGCAACTCATTCATTCTTTGGTTACCTAGCAACAACCTGTTGAGTAATGCCCAGCAGCAGTTTAAGGTTTTGCCTCAGGACTGCTTAAAAATAAAAAATGATGAGTCGTGAAAACAATATCAACCGAAACGTTTATATCTAGAAAAAAGCTGTGAAAATAAGTTAAACTCTACTGTAATAACTGGGGGAAAAGAAATCTTGTGCCATGCTTACTGAAGTGACCTTTGACCTTCCACATGGGGAGGAGGAATCAGGCTGCAGGTCAGTTACACAACAAGAACCAGAGGCAGAAGAAAACTGGAGCTGATTGGTCTGAATTAAACTCAAACATTTTTAACCAACTTTACAAGCTAAATGCTAATATTTTATCAGCTAAAAATGGAGATTAAACAAAAAGCAAACAGGACAGGTCCAGGGTGAACCATCTAAAAATTAGGATTATTATTATAAACCCTTATCTTAAAAAAATCTTACAGTTATGGTTTTTATTTTGTACTTGATGTTTTAATTATAAATACCTTTAAGTTATTCTTCTGTAATGTAGTGGCTTGCAAGTGACTTCCTGGTAAAATAAAATCCTACACTCAAAGTCCCTATAAATAATAAGTAATTCTATGTAACTTTTTTAACTGGGTAAAACTTTTTTCAAAAGCTATTTTTAAAATTTAGATTATATACAGTTCAGTAACTGATACTCTGAGAAGTCAAATTACATAAGATTAATTTTAATTTAACAGTCCTGTAGGAAAAAAGTACAAAAGGCTGAAAAAAAACAATGTATTTAAAAAAAAAACGTTTTCTGTCTTTTTATGCTCCTCATCTGGACCCAAATCTGGTCCAGTTTAAAAACTTGTTTCACTTAAGATGCACAACATTTATATTGTGTTGGAAAATTAACATTGTAGACTAAATTATTATTTTACCAAATCTATACAAAAATCTGAGGAAAATATATTAATCTAAAATTAATTAAAATACTAAAACTAATGGAATTTTTAAATCTAATATGCATTTATGAAAACAAGAAAATGGAGTTGAGATTTACTTTTGTTATTCACTTTTGGAAATTAAATCCAGATTAACACAAATCATTTAAATCTAAAGATTAGTTTTCAGCTGTTTGGCTCAACAACTGTAAATTTAAATATTACACTTAGAAATAAAATAATCTATTATTTAACTCACTTATTTTATGACCCACCTTACAAAGAAAAAAAACTCCCGGAAACTTTGAACGCAACAGTTTAAACAGGTGGGAGACTTGATGAGCGCTGCGTGTTTTTAAAAATTCCCCACAAAGTAAAAAGTTTAAATTTTTGTCTGAGTTTTGTAAAGTAAAATCTAAAAACTTACATTCCTTGGCGTGAAGTCGGTCTTTTTTCTGCCTGCTGTTCCAACCTAGAGACGCTACATGGTTATGTAGACGAAGCAGGAAATCAAGCTACCGGAAAGACGCGCTTTTCCGGCCTGGGGCGTCAAAATAAAAGCACTACGAGGCGCATTGTAATATATAAATTTCTTACTGTTTGGCTTTTTTTAAATATACATTTGTGGAGGGGGTTTCTTTAAAAATTATTTTTCCAAAGAAAGCTGCATTTTTAAACTACTTAAAAAGTATAGTTGACACTTAAATTTCTTCCGTTTATGTTTTGTTTTTTTTGCCATGTTTGAGATTCTCAAACTTCTAAAAATAAGAAAATGCAGCTTTAAGATGATGATTTCATTTGATAAAATAAAAGCAGTTATTTTTCAATTTAAGAAAGGAGTTAAATTTTTACACAGGACTGGGTTGTTCTGGAGAAAATAAATTTTAAAACTATTTTAAACTGTTGGAAAGCACAGTTTAAAGCAAGTTTCATGAACTGGTATTTCAGTTCTTGAAATACAATTAAAAAACTGGAATTTAAACCAGTTCTGACTAGTTGAGATTTGGTTTCGATCAAGCAACACTGATTTTAATATCCAACATGGCTGCCACTTATATTAAATCCAATGAAAGCTGCATTTTTAACCACTAAACTGAATTAGTTGAAGAAAAATAGCTAATGCAATCAAATTAGTTTTTTTAATGGGAATTTTACACTAGTATGCGTAAATATTTTCACTTTATAGTTTCAGGGTAAAACATTTGAAAGCCTTTTAGGCGTCAAAACTGAATAATGGGATTATCTTTTAAAGAAAAAAGTCAAACTAACCTCATAAATGGTGGGACTTTGTTTTGGCAGCCTTGTTGGTTTGAGTTTTGTCAGCTTCACGTGCGTGAGGGTCCAGAGTTTGGCAGTGAGGAGGAGGAGGAGGAGTCTGTGTTTTTGTCTGGCTTGTTATCGGAGTCGGGGTCAAATGGAGGACAGAAGGAGGAGCTGCTGCTGCAAACAGGCGTCCAGCCAACAGCCTGACGGCATCAACAGGCAAAAACTACAACCGGCAACAACGAGGACAAAAGCAAACTGCTGGGTTTTATGAAACACAATATGACATTTTACAGCAATCAAGTTACTAACAAAAACTTCAAATATTTAAATTCAGAATAAAGACAAACCGAAATAATCTTTATAAAACAGAAGAGTTTTCTTTTCAGACAATTTATGAAGCTAAATTGGGGCCATAATGTTTACTCAAAATAATTTTCTTTGAAACTGAAAAGTAAATGAAAAGATTCGAAAATGAAAACATTTTAAAACAGAAAAACAAGATTTGAAACAGGAAAAAAAACATTGAATCTGAAACGTTTTGAACTTTAATTTTTTTTTTGTTTGAAATACATACGGATTAACTTAAATAACTTTTTCAGTTTCACAATATTTTTTGTTTTAAAAACAAGTTTTGATAAATTTGATGGCCCCAATTTAGCTCCATAAGAATTAACTTAGCCATAAAAAAAGTTATTGACAACAATAATGTTCCTTAACTTTTCAGCAACAATAACTTCCCTTAAACATTTATCACAACATCATTGACCTAATCCATAAATAGAGTTTGAATAACCATAATTGCCTAATATTTTATATTAAATTTTTTAAAAAATCATCCAAATCCTAAATCAGAGAAGCATCTTCTAAAGGCACAATGTTCAACTTTAGGCAGGTTTTTTGTTAATTTCAACATGGATTTTTATTGCAACATTAATTCTGTAAGGTGATCTGAATATTAATCACAGAGTGATAAAATAAACCCAAGAAAAACCATGTAGAAACATAAAGCAGTGAACCCAACATGGAACCAAGAAAGTGAGAAAAAAAATCTACTGCATGTTAGAGTCTTTGTCATTTTCAAGCAGCAGAGATTTCCAACACTAAAATATGGGACAGACTAATATTTCTTTTTACCCAATAAAGTCAGGTATAAGTTAATAAAAGGTGAAAAAACACCAGTTTTTATGCTTTTTCAATAACTTATGTTAACCTTTAAAAAGTTTATCAATCATTTTCACAATATTGTGTGTGATCAAAAGAAATTTAAATAAAATTTATTTAATCAGAAAATAAAAGAACAAAACACACATTAACCCTTCAAACACCAAATGAGTCTTATTGCTCAAGTTCCCTGTACTGCGGATGGCACATACTTTAATATTTTGATGCTGGAGCGCCATCTTCTGGCCTCTGTCATAAAATGCTGGTGTGTTTACAATCCTGACAAGCTTCCTTAAATGGTTAACAATATTTAACAAATATAATCTGTCACCAAAGATAATAAAAACACCACAAATCCTTTGTAAATAATTTATCATTTCCTATGTTGCATCATCAGCTTTTCTTCTACTGCTTCAGCCGGACAGATCCGGTAGTTGGTCGACTTCTTTTGGATCTTTTCTGTACATTAGCATATAAGCAGTCCCTCTAAAAATACACAAACAATAAACTGATTTCAGAGGAACAGCAAAACTGGATTTCTTTTTTTAGCACTCAAAAATTATAATAAGAAAATCTGGCAAACATCTCTATTGAATAAACATTGAACAAAGTTCTTAAGTGATAAAATATTCCAATATAGCAAGAAGAACCCTCAAGTTTTCTGATTTAGGAACCTGAAGGAATACAAAACAGATTCTTAGCATAAAAGCTAAGCTAACTAGCTTTTTCCATAAACAATAGCTTAGACAACAAAACATGCGAGACCTTCAACTGTTTTAGATGACAGAAATAAAAATGTCTGAAAATGAATCAAAGTGTTGTTTGTGTTTAAGAACATGTGCTAGCTGGTGTTAGCACTGCAGTAGAGCTAGCTGTAGCATAAAGTTAGAAAACTGCCATTTTAAAACTTAAATAAGACGTAGCATCAACAGTAATGCCATTATTCATACAAACAGCTTTAACTAGATTCCTTAAATCGTTTTTATTAGACAAGTTAGCATTAGCCTTGTAACAAAGCTAGCTGCTTTTGGAAGTTAAAAAAGTACTTTAGAAATTCCTAGCATCAAAAGTAATAAGGTTGTTTTATGAATAAGTTTTGTGATATGGCTACAACTAAGGCAGATAACTGCAATAAAAAAGATTAAAAGTAAACACTGAAACTACACGTCAATTTATTGATTCCGTTTAAACCAAACTCCTTGCTAGCTGTACAAGCTAGCAGTAGCACTGCACAACTAGCTACTCCAAGATGCTGGGAAGAAAATCGTTTTAATTGCTTTTGAAGAATAATATCAAAAAGAATTATAATTTACAAACATTTTCATTTTTTTATGTAGCTACCATTAAAGAGCTACATAAAAAGCTATTTTACTGTAAAATAGGACCTGAATCCACATCTCCATTTCATGATTCTGTTTAAGCTAACATTACAGCTAACTATACAGGCTAGCATCCAATTGTTTAGATTTCTTTTAATGAAGAATTAACTTTATTCAGAAATGAGAATATCCAATATTTTAGAAAATGTGTTCTTAAGTAGAGAACATAACAAAACTTTATGAGACAGTTACCTGTTGGGACTTCCCTCAGTTTTCTGCACATCTTCCCAAGATGACTGTAAATTACCAAGAAAATAAGATATTGATTTAATCACAGATTTGCACAGAAATCTGAAATAATTTTTAAAAGATCTCCAACTTCAGCATGCAAAGATAATATTATAAACCTATATAATTATGTTAAATGTTATGAATTGTTTATGCTCTACAATTTTAGCTTAAGGTAAAATTTTAAATTTGTTAATTCAACCAACATTTTTGTTTTATATGATTCAATCATAAAAATAATTGTATTCATGTCTGTTTTTATAAAAGCCATATAACTTTCTTTGAAATGAGACAGATTTAAACGTACCTGAGAAACATGGCTGTCATCTGCATAAAACCAGCGGTTGCTCAATCTCTGGCGGACATAAGCAGTGTAATGTCCAAACATTGCATCGCCATAATGCACGACCACAGCATATAAAGTATACCTGCAGTCATTCTGCAAGGAAAACAAAAACTTTTTAATTATAAAAAATATAAAATCCAGACACTCAGTAGAAAAGTCAGGTACCTGGGTGAAGTCTGAAGAGAACGCTTCCCTCCGAAGCTCAGAGAAGTTGAATTTTTCTGGGAAAGTGACACTGCAGTTGAGTTTTCGGGTGAATCCACGTATATTTCTGAAGCGTTTCAATTGTATGCACAAGATTTGAGGCAGAGAGCAAAGCTTGACACCCTGAAAAGCAGATTTAGAGGCACCGCTTTAGTTTATCTGAAACAGAATTTGACATCAAGAGAGCAAGTTTTACCTAAAAACTAAACAGGCCCGTTTACTGTTAGACCTAAAATATCAAGAAATTACTTAAAACTAAAACTAACACAGCTAAAATACCTAAAAATAACCAATTCATGTTTTTATAAATCAAAACAAAGGTAACTGCTTGTTTTAATAATTAAAACACCAAAAACACACAGACAACCATGTTAGCTCTGGCTAACAGAAGCTAATATCTGCCAATATCTATGCCCCAAAGGGTTCAGCCAATCAGCAGCAAGGAAAATTAACCGCGCTCCCTGATTGGCTGCTTTCTAAAAGGCAGCCAATAGCATTTCAAGTAGCACTTTCCAGTTTCCTGGGTCGCATTCTCTTTGGACTGTTTTCGGTGTATATCAAAAAATTACGTGAATAAGCAAATTTTTCACAAGTACTTTCAAATTGCAACCCACAGAAAGTCTGCGAATTTCCTGTTGGAATAAAAGCCAACAGAAAAGTAACTTTTATGCTAAGTAACTACAGTGAACTTATGCTTTCATGCAAACTTGATGAACCACATAGAAGTGGGTTCACTGTAGTTAGCTTAGCTTTTATAATTGTTATTTTGAATATATTTTTTCATGTAGTCCTTCAAATCATCAGAACATTAACTTCTAATTTTTGTATTTTCTCTCCATGCTTTATCTTCTTTGACTCATTAGTTCTTCGTTTGTTTGTTTTTATCAGTTCTCTGGTGAACTGATAAAACTGAAACCCATCCTGACCTGTTTGGTTGGGGTCTTGGTTTCACATTGTGCACAAAAGCAGCAGTCAATTCCCCGCAGCTCCTGCTGCTCGAAGAAGGAGATCATGCAGTCCTTCTGAAAAAGAGTTAAAGCAGGAGCCGAATAACATGAAGACAGGCAATAATCTGGGTGATAAATGGATTTATTGATTAGTCGATATTTTGGATTTTTTTCCACTAATGCTTTTCTTGTGTTTTGACGTCAGCAAACCGTGGGTGGCCATCTTGTTTGACAAATGTGTTTTTTCTTCAATTTATTTGGATTCTGAATTCAACTCTAGCAAAAAATATTTTAAATAATAAAGTCATGAAATTAGACGAATGCAGTAGTCTATGAGAACTGAGAAATTTGCTATAAAAATTAGGAAGTTTGTGAGCCCAAAGTAAAAAAATTTGCTAGAAAAATATAAATTTTTTAGATTAGTCTCAAATTCTCTAGAAAAAAAACTATATTTCTGGGTATCAAAAGTTTAAAGTTTGCTACAAATCTTTTTAAAAGTTTGATATTAACCTGGGAAATCTTTGAGAAAAGGCTCTAAAATTTTTGTTTTGAAAGTCAAATAACCATCTTTTGATTTTTATAGCTGTTTTTTTAGTTCAAATTTTTGACTTTTAAAATAAATTTCCAAGCTTGCAACATCAATCTCAAAAATTCGGAGCTTTATCTAGTATGCTTTAAAAATATATATGTATTATCGTTGTCTCTTTAGCTTATATGTACGAGTTAGCATTAGCTTAGCAATAAAGCTAGCTGGTGCGGTTAGCTAACTTGCAATGAAGCTAGCTAGTTATTCGAGAAATTTAGAACTTTCTTAAACTTAAGGTTGTTTATAATGAGTGTAACGTTTTATATGTGGATATGTTGAATTAAATGTTATTTTTAGTATCGCCAAGCTTTTAAGAGCAACAACAGAAAACATACCAGAGAGTTTCGGTCTTCCTTTATGTGTAGCGGCAGGCTGAACAGGTGACTGTTCCGCGTTTGAACGTTGTTGCACTCCAAACATTGCACCTGTGTTTCCACTGAAATCTTATACAAACTCTGGATTTCAATAGCCTGGAAGAAGAAAAGAAATTAAATCCTGTCTAGATGAAGTATAAAATGATAAATCTGAGAATGAATCCCGACCAGAGTTCGGTCATCCATTTGCCGCTGAATGAAATCCAGAATGGATAAGAAAACTTCGTCTGCGTCGTGCTGCGTACTCACTGCAAAATCAGGAGAGTTAAAAGGTGATCAGAGTGAGACCTCTGCGGTGCAAATATGGGTGTCTTACGCCGGATGCGGTTTCGGTCCAAGCAGTGGAGGAAGTCCTGATGAGGAGCGGGATGAGGAAGATCTTCCTGCATCATCTTCAGGACTCGCTTTAGCTGGAAGGGAACATTATCTTCCGCTCTCACACCGGCGGGTTTCCACCTTAAAATAAAATCATAAAAACACGTTTATGTTCCGTTTAATTACCCTGCCGGTTGCCCAGGCTAACATTAGCTTATTAGCTAAATTCCCCTGTTAATTTACTCACTTTTCTAATATGTCTGCTAGTTCCCAGGTGGCGTTGAGGGTCTGCAGCAAAGTGTTGACACAGCAGGACAGATAGTGGTTTATGAGGCCTCTCATCTCTGACGGAGAAAAACAAACAACAATTAGTCAATTACGATATTACAGTTTTTCTAATTGATTTAATTTTTACTTTTTGACAGTTTAAAGTCAAACTGGTGTTTTTAAAGATTTATTTTGTTTTTCTGAATGACCAAAATTAAGAAAATAATGTGTTGATTAAATTAGGAAAAAGGAAAGAAGAGAGGATGGAAGGAAATGAAAGATGCAAAGAAAGAAGGAAGGAAAGAATAAGTCACGAAGTAGGAAGAAAGAAGAAAGGAAATAATGAAAGGAAGAAAAGGAAAAATAATGGAAGGAAGGAAAAAAGAAAGGAAATAAAAAGGACAGAAAGGAAGAATGGCAAGAGGAAGGAAAAATTAAAGAGACAAGAAAGAAGGAAAGAAAGAAGGTAAACAAAGGGAAGGACAAAAAGAAGTAAAGGAGGGATTAAGGAAGGATGCAGTGAAAGACGGAACATTTAGATAAGACAGAGAACGACTTAAATATGTTTTTCCTCCTATGTTTTATTTTTTCATTCAAATTTGAAAAAAAAAAAAAAATATATGAAATTCCAGTCCAGACTCTCCAAACTGAATCAGAACCAGCAGTTCACCTCTGAAGAAAACCAGTGGCCTAGTCAAAGTCTGAACTTAAATCTACTTGGACATGTTGTAGATGTTTGTGCTGCCCTCTAATATGCCTGAATTAAAACAATTCTGCAAATTCGAGCAGGTCAAAAATCTTACACAGTTCAGATTATTTGATGTTTTTTCAAAGATCTAAACGGCGAATTAATTCATATGTAAAAACATATTTAGGGTTATTTAAAGTCACATTTAACGAGTTTTACAATAAAAAACAAACCACATTTAATCAAATTAAGCTTTAAAATAAAATTTTCCTCCTTGTTTTTACTTTTTAAAGTCCAGTAATAAACCTTCGCATTTCTGCCAATGTGGGTCGCAGAACTTACCGAACTCCCTGCGACTCAGAAAACGGCTCAGTCTCAAAAAATGCTCGGGTATCCACACAGACATCGGAACGGACATCCGTTAGGTTCGGTTCGGTTGGAGGATCCGAACCAGAAAACCATCAGCGGGTTCTGTCGATCAGCTGGGTTCTGTCGATCAGCTGGGTTCAGTGTCCGGTCCGTCAACATCAGCTGCGATACTTTCGGTTCTTTTTCGCTTCCCTGAAAACGAAACTTAAACCTGCGCAGATCAGGCAAAACATTATGACCACCGGTCATACTGCTGGATGTTCTGGTTCATCACATCCACGCGTGGAAAACTGAGTTTATTTCCCGCTGTGGGGAAAATGGAAGATAATCGGAACCAGATGAGCCGAGTTGATGTTTAAGGAGGAAAACTTCCGAAATCAACACATAAAGAGCTTTTTATCAGGGACATTATAGAAAATATGAGTAAATGTCCGACAAAAAATCTGAAATTTTAAAATTGATCTGAGATTTTTTTTTTTTTTTTTTTTAGAAAAACACTTGGAAATTTCTGAGTTAAAAAACCCCCAACTAAATTTGCACGAGAAAATTTGAGGTTAAATCTGTTGTTTTTTTTACTGTTGAAATAAATTTTGAATTAATCAGTTTCTTTCAGAACATTTCTAAGTTTAATAACAAAATAATTTTTATTTCTAGCAAATTTTCAACTCTTCAAATTCAGAAGTGTCCAGGTTTTTCTCGAAAATGTTTAAGATTTATCCCTTTTTTTTTCCTGAAAAATGTTGACTTTTCAAACTCAGAAATTCAGTTTTTTTCCTGGAATATTTTTTAGATTAATCTAAAAAATGTTACTTTTTTCTAGTAAAGTTACAAGTTTAAAAAAAAAATAATAATAATTTTTTTTCTAGAAAATTTCTGAGATTGTTCTCAAAATCTCAAGATTCAATTCAGAATCTTTCTAATCTTTACTAATCCTAAAGAGAAATTTAATATGATCCAAATTCCTTCAAAAACTCGTTGCAGAGGATGTCCTGTAGTAGTTAGTGTTACAGTGATTCTGAAGAGTCCTCTGACTGAAGACATTGTTGTTGAGGATTTCCAGAGCAAATCTAAGTGTTTAATTTACAGAAAAAATGCAATAAAGAGTTAAATATTTTCTTAATTTAATCAACCTAACAGAATGTTGCAAAACTCAAAGATTAAATAAATGTGCAGTTTCCTCCTCTACACCAGAGGGCGATATGACGTAAACTTCGCTCTCCACGTCTGCTTAATCAGCTGAAGGAGTTTGACAATCCACATATAGGACGACGGGAAAGCTGCAGAGGAAACAAAATGATCAACATGATTATCTCCAATCGAAACGGTTTAATGAAAACGAGCAGCAGAATTTCCTCGAACCTGAGTCCAATCTGAAGAGAAGCATGTAGAGAAGAATGGCGGCCAGGAGGAGTTTCTGCAGAGGGGATGAGTTGGATCCGGTCCTCAAGCACTTTCTGTAAAACGTCCTGAACACGGCTTCAACTTTATGGAGTAAAGGCCCTGCAAAACATCCTCAGTCAGATCAGACGCTGTTGTTCCCATTTATTGTGTTTAATAAACATAATTAAAGTAAAATACTCTGAATTGAGTCGGGTTGTGATTGTCCAGCCCCAGGATCTGGAGTTTCTTCTGGATTGATTGGGTCTTCTTGATTCTGTCGACTTTTTTCTTCCACCACGTCCAAAGCTTTTTGCCGTTGCTCCTCTGTGAAAGTGCTGCGTCCAAAGTCACCACTAACAAATTCCCGCGCCTCATCCAGCTGTCCGAGCGGCAGGAGGATGTGCAGCAGGTAGAGCTCCGCCACCAGCCGGAACCCGGCGGCCCGGACGTTCTGCGGGTTGTGCAGCCAAGCCAGGGTCGCCTGCTGCATCACAGCAGGCTGCTTGACCTTGGAGTAGAGGAGGATGCTGGGAAAAATCACAATTCACACAGAATAATTACATTATTTGTATTTAAAAATGATCTATGACAAGAATTTTAAAAAACATAAGTGTGATTTCAATGGGTCTACTTCGCACAACGAAACACACATTTAGGATTTTCAAGTTTCTTTTAACAATTTTCTTACTCAGTTGAATTTTGTTTATTAAATTTTATTTCATGTCTTTTTAAATTTTAATGTTTTTAAGAAATGGCAGGTGAATCTCTCAGAATGTTAATTAAAATAAAACACAGGAAGACTGTTACATGTGCTGCTAAAAATATTTTTATTTCTTTTTAACAGCTGTTTACAATCAAATTTGATCAGAGCTACTTTTTTAATTTTTAAAAAATGCTTAATTTTTTAATAACAAAAATGCAAATAGGAAAAAGAAAGTTATCTTAAAATTTATAAAATGATCACACTTTTTCAAATAAACAATTATAATAGAAACAATAATTATAATAAAAACTAATCACACCACTACTTTTTAATAATATTTTTCCATTTTTTAATTAATGTTATTTCTTTTATATAAAAACTAAAAAGAGGGAAAAAAAACATCAAAACTCATGTTCCTTTTTTGAATTTTGGAAAATGCTTTTTTAAAATTACTTTTAAAAATACACTTAAAAACGATAACATATATGTATTTATTTTTTAAATACCGATTTAAAAATAGAAAATTAAACAGAAAAAATATTTTGTATTCTATTAATTTTATTATTTAAAAACATGTAAAAACCATGCAAAAATACTTAAAATTTAAAAAATAACGAACAGTGCGCTTTTTAAATAGAAACACATACAAAATAGAAAACATAAAACGGTAGAGAAAATTAGTATATAAATAATTAAATAAATAAAAAAAACATCGTAATCCTTACCACAGCTGCATGATCTTAGCAGGCACATTTTCCTGCTGCCCGTAGTGCTGCAGGACCCAGGAAAAAGCCCCCCGCCACTGGTTGAGCTCAGCCAGAGCCTGGATCCCCAGAATGCAGAATCCAATTTTTATCTCCTCAGACCTGCAGAGAAAACTCGCTGCTAACCCGAACAACACGCAGAGCAGCTGGGACACAACACGGCGGTTCACCTGTCTTCTGGCTCCAGACGCCCCAGGTTCTCCAGACCCGCGTTACAGGCATCAAAAGCCCCCTGGAAGTCGCCCTGGACCATCATGAGCTCTGCAGCGGAGTCCAACATGTGGAAAAGCTTCGGTGAAGAGCAGGAGAACGGCGGATTGAACCGAGAACAGCGGATTGAACCGATCTCGGCTGTCATGAACTTCGTCTGTGTTATGAACTGCAGAAGTTCGGTTCACAACTCCAGAACCAACTACTAACTAGCACCGAATAAATAAAATTATTTACTTTTATCCAATTTAACAGAGGAATACTTCGCTCACTTGCATCCGTTTGTTGACAAATTGAAATGAGCGGAACTTCCGGGATTAACGGCCAATCAACTGCCACAGTCTTCAGTAGGTCTGACGCAGCCAATCACGTTCGAGCTTCCTTCACTGTTCCGTATGTGAACAGAGCAACGTGTTTCTGTCGCAGGGCGCACATTTAGAGCTGGAATTATAAACTAACTGTAAGTAACCGCTGTTCTGGAACATGCCCTACTAGTTTATGACTTCGTCAGCTTATTTTGAAGCGATGAAGCTTTTTAAAATAGTTTTCAAAACGTCTAGTTAGCTAAAATGCTACGTTAGCAGCTCGTTTATGTAATGGTTACCGCACCAATTAATGTTATTTTGTTTATTTTCTCTCTATATGCGTCGTGTAGGTTAGAACTTTTTAGTACTTCTAGACTTTATTTCGGAGCGGCTGTAAGGGTAAATTGTTAACATGCCAAAAAACAAAATAAAATGTATCTGATGATCCATCATCAGTTGTTAGCTCGCACTGCTCTGCTGATCTACCTCATTTTCCACTCCTCTTTATCCCCTGCTTGGTCATATAGAGATAGAGTCGGGGATAATCCTTGTTCATTATCATTGATACAAGAGATGTTTAAACGTCCTCCTTTCTCAAGAAACCGGTGCAAACTTTTGAGATGTCTTAAAAACCTTTAAATTGAAACTTGATTGGGTCTCCAAAGCTAAAAAAAATTATATTCTAAATACTTTGGCAGCGGTTATTTTAATCAGTTTTGTGCAAAGTTGCTTGTAAATTGCTGGACTTGGATTCCTTGGGCTCTTAACTTGAAAATGTTTTTTTTCTCTCCCCCCGATTCGTCAATGAAAATCGTCAAAAAATATTTTCATCTCCAAATCCAAACTTGTTGCTTTACAGTATTTCAAGAAATGTCTTCCACCAGGAGAAACATCGGCTTTTTCTCGAAGGAAAAGATTAAACATTTAAGTAGCTCAAAAAAGCTTTTAACCTACTTCATTTCGTCAAATTACGTAATATGTCTCTACAGATCTGTGAACAATCAAGGCTGAGTGAAATTGAACAAAACAATTATGGCTAATTTACATTTTAACACAGGGACGAGTTGGTTTGGATGCTTTTGCTCCTTTAATGAATCACTGTTTTAATTCAGCATTTTCTATTAACTGTGGTTTTCTGTAAAAAATTAGTTTTGCAATCTGAAATGTTTAAGCTGCAAAAATACACATAAAAGCTTCATCAACAAATGAAAACAATGCATCAGGCTGATGGAAGAAAAGTGAGGATAATCCGCATGATTTTACTATTCCTGTGTTCACTGCAAAAACACAAAATCTTAAAGTATTCATTGCCTAGTTTTTAGTGCAAATATCAACACTTAAAATGATACAAATACATTTTTAACAAGATATGAACTTGTTTTAAGTCAATAATATCTTAATATATTTTTTTAAAGGAGTAAATTTCTGGCAAAGATTTTAAATTGATCTCAATTTTCTAAAAAAAAAAAAAAAAAAACATTTCTGAGTTTAAAAAGTCAAAATTTACTGGGGGGGGGGGGAAACCTTCAAAAATGTAGAAATTAATCTTAGGAATTTTCTAGAAAAAAACTTGAAAAATTATAAGTTTGAAAAGTTGAACATTTCTAAGTATTTTGGTGGAAATTTACCTCTTTTTGTCAACCCAAAGTGGTCCTAATGCATTGTAGCAGTCTGTATTACAGTGGTTGTTTAGAATCCTCTGACGAGGACAATCAGGATTTTTTTACTTTGAAACTTAAACAAATATTGAAATATTTTCTTGGTTTCATCAATCTAACTGAATATTACAAAACCCAGAAAAAAATTTAATAAATTTAGTTTCTTCCTTCACACCACAGAAAGACATTTTTCCCATGAAAACATCTTATAATATGGAAATATTTTAAATCAGTATTAAGAAATAATTGACTCCTCGTTTGTTCTTATTTCAAGTGAACTAAGATATTTACATTTTTCTTTTTTTAGCTCCTCCTGAAAATGGCCAAAAGTCTTCGTAGCAAATGGAAGCGGAAGATGCGGGCGGAGAAGAGGAAGAAAAACGCTCCGAAGGAGCTGGCTCGACTCAAGCAGGCTCTGAGTCTGGATAAGAAAGGAGGAGCGGACATGGCCGACCTGCAGGATGTCGCCACGGTGATTCCAGCCGACAAGATAACGAAGCAGAGCGACGTTGAAATGTCAGAGCAGCAGCAGCAGGAGGAGGACGGTGAGTTGGAGAGATAAAAGTCAAAACCTGTTAATCTGTTTGCAGTTAACAGATTAAATTATTAAATTATGGGTTTTAGGCAAAATCCTGCCTTCAAATCAGGTTGAGTTTGAGATAAAACGTCTCAAATACCTGGATGTTGAAGTTCAGGAGAAATGTGCACAAGGAAGGAAAAGGAAATTTGTGTGGCCTCGCCAACAATTCAAGAATAAATGAAATAAATTAGGACAAAACTGCACATTTTTTAATCAAAATCTAGTCAACATAGTATTTTCCAAGCCTTCTTGTTTACTTCTGTTGTCATAGTAACTAGGTAGTAGTTACTAGGTAGTAGGTAGGTAGAGTAGTAACCTACTCATCGCCTTAAACTTTATAGTGAACATTGGTGCAAATCTGATTTTAATTGATGTATTAAAGTTTGTCTAAATACAGGAAGTGTTTTCAAACAAACACTGACATAGATCCTGTTTTTATTTTCAGTTCAAAAGACTTCAAAATAATGAGAACACTTTCATTTTAAAGAAAAACCATTTAAAGTTTTAGATCTATAATCCTATTCCTACAAAGTAAAAAAAAAATTATTACTTAAGCTGTTTAAATAATGCTTAGCTTTTTGTTCAGTATGTAAAAAATATATTTTTTAGTGATTTTAGTTTTTAAAAATGATTCTTTCTGGCACATATGTGAGAGTTGAGTATTTTGTGCTGCATTTTTAGATGGGAAGATGGAGATGGACGCGAAGCGCAGCAAGGCGACTCTGCTGGACGAACACGGACAGTACCCGGTGTGGATGAGCCAGCGGCAGGCCAAGAAAATGAAGGCCAAACGCGTGACCAAGAAAACAGGCAAAGTGAAGAAGAAGAAGGGAATCGCCTGGTGAAGGAAGCGAGGCGGTTTGTTTGTTTCAGAGACTTGGGAAATTCTGCATCTGTTCTTACAGGACAGCAACTTTTTATGAGTTAACTTTTGTTGACAGAAGATCATCAGAGGAAGATTGTGTTTGCTCCGTTTGTAGCACTGGAACTTTCTAAATATAGAAATCATCCGTCTGATGACAGAAATAAACGTTCAAACCTTAAAAAATGCTTTATTGTCTTTAATTGAAGTTGAGGATCTGAGTCCCGTTCAGACTCTCAACAAAAAGCATTAAAATGTTGCGTTATTAGCAAAAAATGCTTGGATAAATAGAAGGACAAAGTAGTTAGAGTTGATAAAAAGTAGGATTTTAAAGGGAAGCGTGTGCAAAAACCGGCTATTGCAGCTGGACGTAAGAGGCTGGGAAGAGACCGGTGCGGCCATGACACTGGCCCTTCCACCAGCCCTCGTCGATCATCTCTATGTTGGTGATGACATCATCAGGGTTGAAGGAGATCTCGTCGTCCGCCTCTGTGGAAACACGGAACCGTCGGGCTTTAATTCGTTAGCAAAGACGGTAAAATTTTCAAGCTCACCTCTCAGTCGTACTTATTTATTTTTCACCATTAGACACTTGACAGATGTTTTTCAAGATGGCCCCAGTTTCTGATCCTTTTTAGCTAATTATTGCCATAAATGTTACCCATTTTTATGACTTAGGTGAACTTTATGTTTTTTAGTCTTCAGGTTTATATACCTTTAAAGTGATAATATGTAGCAAAATCAGAAATGAGAAACTGCTCAACTGGAAGGAGATGAGGTTGTAACTGAAACAATCGTCTTAATGTTAGCATAGCTTCTGCCATTTTTTAGTATGTTTAGCAGGTTAGCGTTAGCTTCTGCTAATTATTTAATGTATTTAGTGGTTTACATTTAGCTTCTAATTTTTTTCTAACATTTAGCAATATCTTTGTGCTAGTTTTTTTTTGTGTTTATCTGTTGTGTGATAACAGAGATAAGACTCTTATTTAGCAAATTAGTAGATAGCTGTTGCTAAAACCTACTGCCAGTTATACTGTAAACATATTTTCTCCATTACAACCAGGGTGGCCATCTTGGAAAAACCTAAGCATTATCAGTAATTATAATTTCTGAGTTCAATCGTGTGTGATTTGACATCAAAAGTATTAATTTGCGATAAATATTGCCAGATGTAGTGAAATTTTTTTTTTAGCTCGACAACCATCTTGAATTATTTTCAAAAAAGTAAGTGCCAAGTTAGGTTCTTGTATCCTTGTGTGAAAAAAGGAGGAGGAGTAAGACTACCTCCATATTCCCCTCAAGGAGATGCAGTGATCGTCCCAAACTAGACGGCTCAAATAAATCATTAAAAGCCCAAATCTGCGTCTAAGTTTCACAGTTTGTGAACTGCAGAGGACGTCTTACCTCCTTCATAGTCGTAAATTGCAACTGCCTTCTGGCCGGCCGACACGTCCTCGTATTCGCCGCCATCTTCTGTGAGCAGAAATTAAGTTTAGATGAGAAAAACCAAACGAGAAATTCTTCCCGCGGAGCTCTGGTCGGAGACACACCTTCTGGTTCAGGAGCAGGTGTTTCGCTCAGTTCATCGTAATCCCCGCCGTCCTCCACTTCGTCCATGGCGGCGGACCGCGGCGGCAGAGGAGGGTCCGCCGGTTCCAGGAGATCGTCTGAGCGTGGAGGCAAGTCTGGAGGCTCCTCGTATAACTCGTCCCCCTGGAGGTAAAAACGAGACGTTAGGCTGCCATTAAACTATAGAGATGTCTGAATGTGAGTTTACCTCTGGTTCTGGTTCTGGTGTTTTTGGGACCGCCGGGAAGTTTCGGTGAGTTTCTACAGGCGGATTGTCGTAGGTCGGTTCCTCCTGAGCAGGAGGAGGATGGACT